ACTGCAACTTTTCTCCAAATTTATGGATCCCCATCGACAAAAAAACAGCGAGAAAATGCTTGAGGCAGAGCGATAAGTAAGTCACGCTCGCGCCGCCACCCACCGAGTGTTGGATCCACCCACCCACACGGTGACCGAAGTAAAATGACACAGGGGCGAAGATGAGTGGCGGCAAGGGGCGGTGGCAGTGGTAGTGGCGGTGGTGGCGGCCGTGTTGGTGGTGAGAGGGTCCGGTATTGAGCCAGCCGACCGCCCTCCCTAACGCCCGACCACCCGACCACACGGGGCCCTGGCTGCGACAGACGGGCAGGTGGCTGAGGGGGGTCCCACAGCCTCTCTACCTCCATACTCCCCCCTCCTCCTCCCGTCAAGCACACCACACACTCACCGAGCCTCCCCAGCCCTCCACCCACCACAACCCTACTATTTAATTTCATTTCGAGCAACAAACAGAGGACAAAAAAGTGTAATAAAGTTTTGGATGTGCGGGCGCCTGGCATCCTGAGAGGGACTGCAGGGCTGGCGTGCGTGTGCGGCTGATGGGAGAGGCCAGGGCGCGAGCTGTCGCTAATTTCCGCCGCTCCCACACGCCTTCGCTCCTTCTCACAACCCTTCGCTCGCTACCTTATTTCTTCGCTCGTCCCGCTCGGTTTTTGATCGGTCCCACTTAACTTGTGTCTTCCCCGACCGCCATTATTCATATTTAAACACACACTGCTACTCCCTCACCCAGAATCCTCCTGGTTTATGTTTATAACGCTGCTTTGCCATTCCCTTATTTTTTCGTGGCATGATGTTCACTGCTAATGTCATTACCTTGCACCCTTACCCTCTCGTACCCTCTGTGGCAGTGGTGGTCAGCAGGTAGTGAGGGGAGGACGAGGGAGAGAGAGAGAGGAGTGAGTTAGGGTCAGTGGAGCAGGCGGCAGGAAGGACAGGGAGGGCAGGAGCAGTGCCAAGGCTCCCCCTCCTACGTTCTGACCTTCGACCCCACTCCATAATTGTGTTGTCTGGATTCTGCACCTCCTCGACCCCAGGAGCTGTGCTGTTCGCTCCTCTTACTTGTGTCGCATATATTTCATTTTTACTGCTGGAGTCTACGTTGCCAGTGCGATCATTTTCCATGCCTGAAAATGAGAACTTTGTGTTGTCATTAGTCTCTCTCTCTCTCTCTCTCTCTCTCTCTCTCTCTCTCAGACGTCTCATTAACGCATGCCTAATTCTTCCTTCCGTTCATCTATCCTTTACACATATCCCCAACTCACACACCCTCCCCTCCCTCACACAACTCCCTACCTTGCCTTCCCCTACCCCGTCAAGCTGAGAGCAGACCTGCACTATCTCACCTCAGAGAACCACCACCACACACTTAATGCCACCACCCTCCCCACTCCTACCCGTTAGACCACACACACACACCCCTCTCCCCACCACTACACCTCCGACGTGACACTCCCCCACACCCTCCTTCCTGCTTACTATTTCTTGTTCCTCGTTCCGTCGTCGTCGTCATCGTCTCGTGCCACCTCTACCACACCACCGTCCAGGGCATCATCACCGGCAGCACACAATTTCTCATCCGTGTCGCCCCCATCATCATTTATTCCGGAGATACATGATCTATCTTTATTTTCATTAGTTGGTCGGCCCTCGTGCACACACACACACACACACACACACACACACACACACACACACACACACACACACACACACACGTATTCTTGTTCACCTTTATTCTTAACATTTCTTCTCCTCCCCATTCTCCCTGACGCTTTTAATATTTCATTTTCACTTGTCTTCCTCTCTCTCTCTCTCTCCCCTATTTTTTATCTTTTATTTTCTTTCCCTCGTCCCTTCCGTTTTACCTGTCGCATTACTTCTTCCTGCTGGTACCATCCCCTTTCAGTCCTCTCTCTCTCTCTCTCTCTCCTCCTCCTCCGTCTTCCCCATGCCTGTCATCCGTCTTCCTCGTGACCTCCCAAGCGCCTCCCCCCCTCCTCTTCCCCTCCCTTCCTGCCCTTGTTCCAAACCACCACACCTCCATACCACGTCCTGCCTCAACGCCTCCTCCACACTCCCTTCCCCCGTCTCCCTCCTCCTTCCCACTCTCACCCCGGCCCTACACACCAGCGAAGGAATTCTCACAGATTCGTAAGACGGTTTAGCTCCTTCCCTCGCCCCCCCCCCCTTCCCTGTGAGTGGGGGTGAGGAGAATGGCCCCCAGCTAAGTTACAGTCTCGGTGTAATTTCGACGGACATTTTGGCAGCCATCTTTGTGCCGCAGCATAACCGAGCCACTTTTAAGATGGGTTCTCGTAACTTCAGTTAGAGAGAGAATTTGACGTGAGAAACTTTGAGAATCCGGAGAGATAACTTAGATGGTATTGTTACGGAGCCGCCCACATAGTTGTACACATACTATATATATATATATCCTGTCTCCCAGCACTAATTATCACTCACATTATATCTTTTGTCTTATTATATTTTCTATTATTCTCTTTTATCTTATTCTCCCCCCTTCTCCTACTATTCAACCTTTATCCTCTGTTTTCCACTTCTTACTCCTCTTCTCCTTCCTCCCCCAGTTTGGCCTCGTCTTAGGAGTTCACACAACTGCTGCAGCACTTCTTACCTTCCCCCTTCTGTTATTGCCTCGTTTTTACACTTGCTATTTCTTCACTACTTGCCTTTATCCTTCTTCTACTGATGGTGGAGGCGGGGGGCCGTGACAAGAGGAGGCGGAGGAAGAGGAGGTGAGGCGGTGGTAGTGGTGGTGGAGGAGGAGGAGGTATCCAGCACAAACCAGGCGTGACAT